AAAAATATGTGGGGGGGGGCAGAGGGGCTCGAGATGAAAGGTGTGTGGAGGAGGAGGAGGAGGAGGAGGAGGAGGAGGAGGAGAAGAAGAAAGAAAGGAACTGACTGCTTGTAAACGTCGAGTGCATTGCGAGGTTGGTCAAGCCGAAGATAGACGTTGGCAAGCTGATGCAAAAGAATGAGTGAGAAGAGAAGTGTTGAGGGGGGGGGAGGGGAGAAGAGGAGAGGGAAGATGGGACAAAGGGGGAAGGAGAGGGAGAAGGGAGGAGGAGGAAAAATCAAGAGAGAGAGACACCTGAAGGTAGGTGCAAACCATCTCTTGGAGCTTCAAAGAAGAAAGATACTAATAAAGCAATTCATTGTTGTCCATGGACATCATTGGCAGGCAATCAGCATGCAAGCGGAAAGTGAGGAAGTCGACTGGGATGGGTGGAAGCAGAAACTGCAGAAAGAGCAGGAGGAAGAGGAGGAGCAGAAGAAAGAGAAGCAGGACGAACATCAGGTGCAACAGCTGGAGAAGCAGGAGAAAGGGGAGCAGGAGGAGCAGGAGGAAAAAGAGTTACACAACCTGGAGCTCTGCCTCTCGAAGCAAACCCAGTTGGTAATATCCTCGTCCCAGCTTCATCTGCAGCAACTTCACCTCAAACACTCCTCCTCTCGTCCCACCTTCCACCACCAGTCCGCGAAGTTCACAGCTGAGGTAGCAGCTGAATAGCGGCACGTCGTCAGCTCGCGGCGTGCTGGGCAGTCGACCTCACCTGCTCCCAGCTCGACTGCCTTCCTAGGGTTGTGCTCAACGCTGAGCATGTAGTCGCACAAGGCCTGCGGCATCCAGGTTAGCAGATTATCGTCCTCTCCTCCTCTCCACTTACTCTGCTCCTCCTCCTCCCTCTCCCTGTCCAGCTCTCCCCTTCCTACTCTCCTCCTTCTCCCTCTCCTTCTCCCTCTCCCTCCCTTCCCCGCCCCTCCTCCTCGTTCTCTCGTACCTTGGCGAGTGAAGGTCTCTCCGCGTATTTCTGCATGTTGAGCTTCTCCAGGTTGACGAAGGCGCCGCCAGGCTCGGACTGAAGTCTCGTCAGCACTGGGGCCGAGGAAAGGGGGAAGGGGGGATGAAGGAGGAGGAGGGGTAGGAGGAGGAGGAGGAGGAGGAGGAGGGGGAGGGGGAGGGCGAGGAGGAGGAGGAGGGGGAGGGGGGGGGAGGAGGTGAGGGGAAGGGAGGCAGGAGGAGGAGGGAATCGGAGGGGAGGAGGGCAAGGGAAAGGAAGTGGGAGGGGCGGGGAGGTAGGAGCACCTGGAGGGAGGCGGTTCCGAGGCGCACGAAGCGACCGGAGGTAGTGACGGGCCTCGTCATGGCAGTGCCGACGCGGCTGCTCAGACGTCAGCGAGAGACACGCGGCAGCTGGCTGACCTCGACGTCATGGCTCGCTCAAGTGACATGCCGGTGCCGGGCTTGGTCAAGCCTGAGCCCGGACGAGAGAAGCCGGAGAGAGGACGACCGTTGTTGGTCATGGGTCTGACGGCAGGTGAAGGCCCAGACACTGTAGAGGACTGGGGGCTGCGACAAGGTGAGCTGAGAGTTGGAGGAGAAGGCTGGGAAGTACCGACTGAGTGAAGTGCCAGGACGCGGGACCTGAGCTGTAGCATTCTCATCGAGGAGAAGCTCGGCAAGACCTTCTTCATCGAACTCTGTGTCGACAATGCCATTCTTGTTGGTCAGGGCTCGACATTTGATCCACCACACCTGCTTGCTATCGTCACGATGGCAAACGAATTTCAAACTCCCCGACCTGCTGGTCAACGCCGTGCCTTCCCAGGAGCTCGGTTGCGACATCAATGCACTTGTCATAGTTGCGACGTCGGAGGCGGGAGAGTGCGAGATGAACAGGGTCTACTGAAACTCTCAACAGCAGGACAGGGGCAAGCTGGGGATGGAAGAAGGGAGGTAGCAAGGCTAGGAAATAGGAAGGGAGGGTGGAAGCAGGAGGAGGCGAGGAAGGAGAGGAGGAGGAGGTTCACCGAGGCCTTGGAAGGGATTGCTGTCTGCATGCCACTTGTCTGACAGCGTCGCTGTCTTCGCATCTCCAGCAAACTGACGAGCGGCTGTGTCCAGCCGCCCCCGCGCCGCCATGGGCGAAGGCGAAAAGTTTAGTCAATGAAAGACCAGCGTTAAAAACCCTTGCGATCTGACATCTTCCCCCCTCGCCCCCCTTTTCCCTCTCTCCCTCCCTCCCTCCCTCCGTCCGTCCACTCCGTCCGTCCGTCCCTCTCTCCCTCCCTTCCTGCCCTCCGTCCCTCCCTCCCGCTTCTCTCGCGTTCTCCCTACCTCTCTTCATCCATCCATACCTCCATCCATCTAACTTTCCTGCCCTCCATCCCTTCCTGCCCTCCCTCCCCTCTTTCTCTCCTGGTTCCCTTATTCTGCTTAGGCAGATGAAGCATCGTTTTGTAGCCGAGTGTAGCTTCCTGCTTCTAGTCTGCCTGACCTTAGCAGAAACCAAGGAGACATGTACCACTGATCCGCCTCCTCTGTCCATCATCTTCATCACCAAGAGGTACGTCTTACCTCTTTCACCTGCTCCTCACCTACTCGCTTGCAGACCAGGAGGATTCGACGTCCTCTTGGAATGTCTGGCACAACAGTCTCGCCGAGACTTCGAACTTATCATCGTCGACGATCTCAACAAGGAGAGGCATCACGAAGCAGCCAAGTACGCCGAGAACCTTCGAGTTCCTCTGAGAGCCATCGTACAGAGCAAGCCCAAGACTCGAGGCAAGCGCTTCGGTCAGTGCAACGCCATCAACACGGGTGAGATCGTGAGAGAGATGTTAGATGAGTGATGAGGCTGGGCAGGTCTGGTCCTCTCTCGCGCTCCTTTCGTCTCTGTCGTTCAGGACAACGTCTGGCTCCCAGCTCAGTTCGTGGAGAGGACAGTCAAGTTCTTCAAGGAGCATAAGAGGGATGTACTCTTGTCCTACCCCGAGAGGAGAGTCGCTCCTCCTCCGGGTCGACTGCATCACAGCTTGATGAATGACCACTCGGTGAAACTCGTCGTCTCCTTTCCTGACCGTGACCCTGCTGCTGCAGACTCTAACTATCTTCGACCCTCCCGTCACTGTCGACCCCATCGCTGAGGGCTGGGAGGTTCAGTCATGGAACAACACTATGACGGCAGACATCTGGTCCAACATCGGCAAGGACGAGTTCATACCCACTGAGTGGTTCGAGTGTGCGGCTTGCACGGCCTCCTGGGAGCTGTACGCGAAGCTCAACGGGCTGGACGAGGCGCTGGATGTAGGAGACGATTCACAGGAGGCGAATGTCAAGGATAGAGCTGTGATCATGGGCCAGAGGATGAAGGAAAACCCCTCGGACATCGGCAAGGCCTGGAACGACCTGAAGACTCCTGTCATCCTGATCAATCATCATGAGTTCAGTGAGGACGAGACGTGGGCTCGTTTTGAACGAGACACCAACTTCCATCGATGGAGGGCGATGAAGGACTTGATGGAGTTCGACGAGTATCCCTTAGAGGCTCCGAACGAGTTCAGCCTGGCTCGAGTGAGAGAGTTGGAGCACAGCTTCGTCCAGTCCCATCTCGTGACAAGGGACGGTGTTGTCGTCGATGTCGACTGGTCGTTCCTCCCGAAGCGCACCCTGTCCGATGACGACCGCAAGCAGCTTCAGGTCGCCATGGCCCCTCGGTTCGGGTACAAGCCGGAGGTCATCTTCCTCTACGACATGGCGCCCGAGGATGAGGCGAACTGGTCTGACGGGCTCAAGGAGACGCTTCGGCTTCTCCGCCGGCATTTCCACATGATCCTGCTCAACATCGGGTACATGAACCTGGAAGATCAGCCCGAGATAGACTTTCGCTTGAAGGACACATTCCACTTCATCCTCGGCTGGGGAGACTTCTCAGGGAAGGCGGATTACTTCATCCGCCAATACAACGAGCGGATCAACCCCCGCAGAGCTGAGAAGGGAGTCCAGCTAGCCACTTTCGGCATCATTCTACACGGGCCGCACTGCACTCCGGACGAAGAGGCTGCGGCGGTGTATGGCGTGTTCGTGTGCGACTCGCCATGGCAAGAGAGGATGTTGAAGCAAGACTTCCCATCACTCAACGTGTTTCAAGCCAAAGGTATCGACCCTCGCCTCCTTCAGCTAGAGGGCCGAAAGGCGGAGGCGCCTGCTTTGGATTATGTTGTGATCGGCGACTTTACCTCCTCGAGTCGACCTGAGTTGTTGATAGACAAGGAGGGCGTTAGGCTCTTTGCTGGGAGGTACGTGGACAGAAGTTCTCCTGTTATCGAGGAAGAGCTTCGGGCTGCGGGAGTGCGTGTAGAGCGGATGCCCAACGCGACCAGAAGGAGAGAGTTGTACCGCAGCAGTCGTGTTGTCTACTTTCCGATGACGAGCGAGGGTTCAGGAGAAACCATCTTGTTGGAGGCCATGGCATGCAATGCGAACATCGAGATTGAGGACGACAACGAAAAACTTCACGAGCTGCATTCCATGCATCTTGAAAATGGTTTTGTTCCAGATTCACAAGCATACACAGAGGTTCTTGTCAAGGCCTTGTGGAGTGTGCTTGCGCCTGGGGCCCTTAAGTGAACTAGAGAAGATCTCGGAGGAACACAGGGCGCTTGATCGCGTTGGTCATTCCTTCGGTGAACTTGTACTTAACGGGATGTGCTGGAAACAGGTCAGCCATGGACAGCAAGACGTTGGAATCACTGTTGGAGCAGGCGAGATGACTCTTGCTTGCTGCATGTTGAGAGAGCGAAGCCCATCCGGCTGCAATTGACTGTCACCAAACACTTCAAAGGCTTGTCACAGTACCATTCCCGAAGACTTTCGTCTTATTCTTTATCGTAGGAGGTGTCGTAAAATTTGCAGGGATGCTCTGAAGTAAATTGAATCACACCCTCGCAATCTCCTAGGGTTCTGTCGTTACCACTTGTTTCTCCTCGCCCTCCTGCTTTGGATTTCTTTCCTCTCGCTTCTTGAGCGCTGCGATCTCAACCTACAAGGGACTCCCATCAACATGAAAAGTGACAGCAAGTAGATTCAACCAGCTGCTCGATGTGAGTCATAAGTTCGTGCTTGAGGGCATTCTGATAGTTCTTGCTTAAGTTTTTCACTAAGTCCTCAATGGGCCTACCAATCCTCGTGAGTCAGCGTAAACATGTAATACTTCTCTTACGGTTGCATGGCCAATTCTGCCTTGCCGTTATCTTGAGTCTGTGGACGGTATCGCAAGCCAAAGGTGAGCATGATAGAGACGTGATCTTGAATGCGTTGCCGGTGCTCTGCGCTCATGAGGTGCATATTTGTCTGCATTGGTTCAAAACTTTGAATCATCCCCTCATAACACTTACCACTTTGATGTCCGGCTGCAAAATCACATTCAACTCCGGTATCAAGTCGATGGCAAGTATGTAACGATCAACGTATCTTCGTAGCAATGGATTCATAGATGTCAGTACATGTTGAGTTACGTTCATATTTTGTTTCTGCCTTTGGATAACCTGTTGTACACCAGTCCGTTTTACTTCGTGAGATGGAAGAACGACAACAAACCTCAGAGGCAGCTCGTGGATATTCGATAGAAGGCCATTGCGGAGCGGCACAAAGATGGTGGAATTTGAGACAAGGAATCTTGAGGTACGGGCTCAACGAGTATGATTGATGTTGGTTGATGTAGCTGTGCATGACATCTGCATCCCCCAAAGACTCCAAGCAAGCGCTAGTCTGTATGCATGCACGTTATAACTGATGACTTGAACAAGAGATATTACTGACCTTGAGCATTCTTGGATCGGTATATTTCACTTTTGGGAAATTGTGTTGGCATCCTATTGCCCAAAAATCAAATTGGAATGCAAACCAGGAAGTGGAATAGGCAAAAGAGACCCAGTAAAATAGTCGTCATGCTGGAAGAATGAAAATTCAGCAACTTATGCAAATCCATGTGCTTGACTACGGAAAAATTGTTATCTTGCTTCGTTCGGATCTCGACATAATTACCCCCTTGCTTCTGGTCCTGCTTTGCTGCAAGCTTGAAAGTAGCATTCCAGACATCAAATAGTCCGCTACTCATGTTGCAATCCTGCGTAGTAGTCCTTGAATAGATCGAAGATAGTTGCTTCATTCTACCCGCACGCAATCTCCAACGGTTCGTAGCTTTGCTACATCCACGTGTCCACCGTCGCGAGAAAGCATCTGAGAATATGGGTCAGCTCGATATGATTTCGATGTACCATGTCACCTGAAGCGCATTCAAACATGATCTTATATCGCCATTATGCATTTCGTACACCATACTCAGAGCCTGTCGGTCAATGCTGAATTGCTCAGCTCGACCTGACAGATTTCAGATGTTTCACGAGCCAACAAAGATAATGACATACAAATTGTCTGCAGCCTTGAAATCATTCTCTGTTCCTCGGGGGGAGCAAAGCGCACAATGTGAGCGATCTTTTTGACCGCTCTGAGCGATGAAGCATAGCTACATACAACATCATTCGAAAAATTAACGAGGAGGAGATTGACATACACGTCATTGCAGATGCAAATGATTGGACGATTTACAGACACGTGTTTTCTTTTCTTTTGCCCAGATTTTGCATTCTTATCGGTTCGATCTCCTGGGTGATCATTTTCCTGCCATATATTTAGGTTTTGTCGTTCATGTCTTGATCGAGTACTGTGTCTTCTTGTGAGTCCTTCCCAGATTCGCGACACATCTTCAAGAGAATATCCGCTAAAGCCTGTGGGAAACGTCATGTCTGAGAACGTCTCACTGATTGTCGACCTGGCCTTCATTGCCACCGATTCCATCCACTTCATCAAGTATAATACAATTCGGTCGGCCTCCCGTAAAGGAGCCTCTCATCTCCGCGAGCGCCTCCAGGCCTGAAATGGTATCATCAGACCACATCAAACACACAAAAACTGTGTATTACGGATCTTGAGTGCAGATGCAGTTCTCTCGTCACTGTTGGCAGAGCATTTGAATAGATTTGTCAAAGGACGAGTGATTCTCATACCTCGCGTTGATCTCAGCAGGAAAATATCCTGCATGCTTTGCAAGCACATGGGCCAGGGTAGTCTTGCCGGTACCAGGGGGCCCATGCAGCAAGAGAATCTGAGTTCCAATTAGCTAGACGGATTATCCAATCATATAGCACTGTCATCACCTTGCTCATGGGATTCGGCCTTTGCGGACCCTTCGCATTCTTCCCAAACACAGATGGATCCCATTCCTTGAGCCATTGGAGAACAGATCGATTGGTTTTCTATCATCATCTCCATCACATTCCGTCTGTGAAGACCTGCAACGTACCTCATCGCTCAAGAGTTGCAGGAAACTTCTGGGTCTGTATTTGTCGACCCATAGTTTGCCATCTTGCACATTCTCAGCAGGGCTGCAACTTTCGATGAGCTGTTACTAGCGTACAGTAGAGCTCACCGATTGCGTTGAGAGACTTCTTGGAGTGGCCTTCTTGATTTCTCAAGAGCTAGCTCTGCTGCAAGGTTCAAGATGTTCGTTTGTAACAGGGTGGTGTTGGTCATGTCTTCGCTCTGTGCCTGACGAAGGTGTCAGACAGGCATCAGCAACGGGTGGCTGGACTATTACGCTGATTCGTTCTCTAAAGACGTGAACGTTGCCCTTCGAGTCTCGAATCTGAAGACCTTGAGGCTCGACTCCAGACAGACATGGCCTTTTTGTGGCAGCATCACTCTCTGGGACAGCTCTTTTCCTGCTCCCAGGAGACGAAGATGAGGAGAGAAAGTTTGTATCCGACGCCATCTCAACCATGGACAGCTCGTCGACGTCCATGCTGCCGGTCTTCAGTCTGTTTGTTCAGGATCAAACGACATTTCTGAAACCGCATCGCAATATTTAAAAAAGCTAACTCTTGTTTTGTTCATTCTCTTGTCAAAACGTCTGCGCGTGTTGGTTTCTCTCTCTTCCTCTTCCTCTCTTCCTCTCTTCCTCCTCTCGTCAACTCACTTCTCTCCTCATCGTCGTCCTCGTTCTTCTCTTGCTGCCTTCCTCCCTCCCCATTCCTCCCTCCCCCATGTCTTCAATTGCCTTCGCGCCATTCTGCCCTTCCCGCCAAAATCAATAAACTCGTTATGAACCGTTTCAAATACGTTATTCAAGACCGTTTCCAAAGATACGAAGAGGCGCGGCAATGCACAGGGCCACGGCAGCGACTGCTGCAGCGGTAAGGGCGAGGAGGAGGAGGAAGGAGGGACAGGAGACTGTGGAGGAGAGAGTTGGTGCCATGGACGAAAGGGCAGAGAGCATGGTTCCGCAAGCAAGCGATTGATCTTCGATATGATTAGCGGAGGAGATATGAAGGACGATGCGCAGGAAAACCAACTGTGATGTTGGAAGGATGAGTTGGGAAAGAGGGGAAAGAAGAGGAGTGTTCCTCAAGAGGTCACTAGATGCTATGAGTTGTCTCTGACAGAAGTACGCAGGTCGCACTGTTGCTTGCTGCAGTTCTTACTATCGTGACATTGAACAAGCGAACCAGCGAGTATGAAATGTTGTCGGCCGCGGTTCCCCGCGGGCGCCAAGCGCTGTATGGCGGCTGGTCCACAGTCAGCAAGGATGACTTTGTTGGACGCTGTCGGTGCACCGGATTTTCGACATACAACCCGGATCAGCGAGTAGTGTGCGCTTGCAGCGGAAAGGATGACCTGTGGAGGAAGGGTCCATGGGACATAGTAACAGGATGTGGGTGAATGTGCTTCATTCTAGCTCCACCTGACTTTATCTCAGATCCTGTCGTTGTTGACAAGTCGGACGACGACCCTCATGACATGGGCAAGTACCTCACCATTCAGGCTCAAGGCTTCCCCGATGGCCCCAAGGAGCCAGCGCACTACTACACGCTGATCCAGCCCTGGGACGACATTGGCAAGCCTTCCATGCCCGAGTTCTACCCTGACGCACAACTTGGAGTGCCTGAGGATGGGTTCTTCGCGTTCGACACCACTTCCTCCTCCGAGTACCCTGCGTTCAAGCAGATGAAGGGCTCGCATTCCTCGCCTATCGAGCTCATTGAGACTGCCCCCGTGCTGGCGAACCTCTGGCGGTGAGAGACGCGCATGGCAAGACCAGAGGCAGCAGTGTTAGCGTGTAGCTGCTGGCTGTGTGGAGATCTTGTGTTGTGAACTTACTAGAACTGAGAGTGTCGGCTACTTCCACCTTGTCAGTGCCAGCATATGCTGCGCACCGACAGCCAGGTCCACCACCTAGAGACGAAGTGATCACATGGAGGAGGGAGATGGAGGAGTGACCTGTAGCCCTCCTAGGCTCGTGATAGCACAGGGAGTCCTCCTGTCCTCGCTGTCTCCCAGCCCCAACATGCCGCTGCTGTCTGCAAGCACCCTGGTCACCTAATCACTTGCTGCGGGGAGACTTACTGGAGCCCCAGGCGAACACAGCCCCCTGCTCGTCCACCGCTGCTGACGTTGCGGGCCCGGCAAAGATGCTCGCGATGTTGGAAGAGCGGAGAGGCTCGAGGATGCAAGGGATGCTGGAGCCTCCGTCAAGACCTGGAAGCCGTCAGTCTCCTTGGGAGGAGTCAACGCACACCGGTTCCGAGCTGTCCTCTCTCGTTGCTGCCGCACACCCACACTTTGCCCTTGTCGTCGAGGAGGAGGCTGTGCTCTCGACCTGCTGCTGCCTGAGATGTTCAGGGAGAAGCAGGAGAGTCAAGAGGAGGAAAGTAGTCGATCGACTGAAGTCAAGACAACCTGCACGATTTTGACATTGTTGAGGAGAATGCGAGTAGGGACAAGCAAGAAGTTGACGCCTTCATGCCCGAGCTGACCCTCCAGTCCACGACCGCAAGTGAAAACTTCACCAGTGATTGTCACGGCCACCTGCAATTTTGGTTTAAGTCCTCTGTCCTCCTCTCCCTCTCACTCCTCATTCTCTCTCTACTCCTCTCCCTCTACTCCTCTCCCACTTCCATCTTCCTCACCGTGTGCCAGTCCCCTGCTGCGATCATCTTGAGCTTGCAGCCGTAAAGTCCTGCAGCCTGAACGTCAGTCGCTTCCTCCTCCTCGTCTCCTGCAGCAGTACCCTGTCGAGCCCCGCCCTCATTGGACGCGAACTTGAACATCGTCAGGGGACATGTAGCAACAAGGTTGGTGCTGACCATAGGGGACGGACGACTGGTCGAGTACCTCGTTCCCGACCCCAGCTGCCCTTCACCTCCTCGCCCCCATGACGTGGCATGCCCATTCCTCTCGATTGCAAGGGAGTGATACCTGAAACGCAAAGTTGGTAGGAAGAGCGACGATTCGTTCTCACCCTCCCGCAGCAACGAAGACGACATCGACCAAGTCCTCCTTGACAGCTGTCAGTACGTTTCCTCTCACTTTTCCTCCTCTCTCCACTTAATCTCCTCTTCCTCGATCTGCTCCCTTTCGCTTCCATTATTCGCACTACCTGCATCTCCTTCTCTTGAAATCTCTCTCTTCCACTCTTCAAGTCCTCCTCCTCCTCCTCATCATCATCATCATCATCATCCTCTCCTCCTCCTCCTCCTCCTCTTCCTCCTCCTCTTCCTCCTCCTCCTCCTCCTCTCGCCTCCTCTCGCCTCCTCTCGCCTCCTCCCCCTCCTCCTCCTCCTCTTCCTCTCTACTCCTTCTCACCTCAACTGCCTTTGGCTCCACCAGGTTCACGATGTCACCCTGTCCAAGCTGTCCTTGCAGTCCATCCCCGAAGGAGAAGACGATGCCTGAGCTGCTGCACTTTCACTATCTCCCCTCCCTTCCCCTCCCTCCCCATCTCCCCTTTTTTCTCCCTTCCCTCGTTACGACTTCCCTTCTCTCCCACCTGCTCAGCAGCAGAGAGTGCCTCTCTCCTGCGGCTGCCTGAACGATCTGAGGATCAACATTCAGCTGTATCAGGAGGGACAGGAAGAAGGAGAAGGAGGGAGTGAAGAAGAGGGAGAAGGGAGAATGAGGAGAAGAGGTGAGAGACGAGGTGAGAGGGGAAGGAGAAGGGGGGGAAGAGGGAAAGGAGGAAGCAGGAGCAACAGCAATGGGAGAGCAACAGCAACGGCTCCTCGTGTCTTACCTCGATCATCGCAGGAATCTCTTTCGGCAGCAGACTGCTCGTCTCCTTCCTTCCCAACCGTCCGCCCAGTCCTACTCCCATTGACAGCACCTACTCGCACGTTCAGGACAGGCCAGCTTCTCCTCTGCAGTACCTTGCTAGAGCTAGTAAGTAGAAGGTTGTGCGATCGACCCGCAAAGACTCGAGCGACGTTGATGTCCTCGAGCCCGAGGACGCGAGAGGGTAGCTCGTGATCTTCCTCGTCTCCTCCTCCCAGCCTCCCGCCGCTCCCGCTCCCCCACGCCATCACCTGCCACAGCGTCTCAGCTCCTGCACACGCTTCATCATGCCGTGCCTGCGCTTCGACCCCGAACTTGACGCACAGCTCCTCGCTCTCCCACATCCCTTCCCTCACCGCCCGCACTCGGAACTCCGTCCATCCTGCATCCCTGAGGACGATGGGGCCGACACAGACCTGAAGGTTGTGACCAGCAGCAGAGGAGGAAGAGGAGGACCTGAGAGTCTTTGCTGGGCTCCTGACCGTCTCGGGTGTAGTGGAGGATAGCTCCTGGGGTCGAGGAGGTGAAGAGAATCTCAACGAGCTCCAGGAAGACGCCGGGGGAGGGAGAAACGCGCGGAGTCTCAACTACTTGGAGGAGGACAAGGCGAGCGTGAGACGCCGGCGAGTCGATGAAACCTTTCGCCATGGCGCGAGCGGTGAATCTGTAGGAGATGTCCAATCGAGGAAGGTGGGGATGAGGAGAAAGTGAAGGGGGGAGGGGGGGGAGGGAACAAAGAAAGGACAAGAGCAGGGAGGAGAGGGGAGGGAGGTGGGTGGGTGAGAGCGAGCGAGCGAGCGAGCGAGCGAGGGTTGGGGAGATAATAGGAGAAGGCAACTGTCAGAGTGCTGAGAGGAGAGGGAGAGGAAGCACCGAAGCTCGAGGGGTTGCCATGGAAGGAGCGAGATTCCTTGGAGCAAACCAGTTCCAGTGAAGAGATCCTGATCGCGTCTGTCGAGGCGTATGGGACGCTGAAAGAGATGAGAAGAGGAGGAGGAGGGAGAAGGATCGGAGTCATCGAGGGTGAAGAAGATGCTAGCATCCTTGTGCTCGCTCGTCATTGCCAGCTCCGTCCTCTCCCGGAACGTTCCCGAGCTGCCCATAAGCTTTAGACCAGCACAGACAGAGTTTGACATGAGCTAAGGACTGAAAATCGGAAAGGGAGGAGAAAGGAGAAGCAGGGACGAGGGACGAGGGACGAGGGACGAGGGACGAGGGACGAGGGACGAGGGACGAGGGACGAGGGACGAGGGACGAGGGACGAGGGACGAGGGACGAGGGACGAGGGACGAGGGACGAGGGACGAGGGACGAGGGACGAGGGACGAGGGACGAGGGACGAGGGACGAGGGACGAGGGACGAGGGACGAGGGACGAGGGACGAGGGACGAGGGACGAGGGACGAGGGACGAGGGACGAGGGACGAGGGACGAGGGACGAGGGACGAGGGACGAGGGACGAGGGACGAGGGACGAGGGACGAGGGACGAGGGACGAGGGACGAGGGACGAGGGACGAGGGACGAGGGACGAGGGACGAGGGACGAGGGACGAGGGACGAGGGACGAGGGTATCACCTAGGAAGCAACTCTGGGGAGCTCAAACGATTCTGAACGATGAAGTCGCAGGTGGCGAGGAGGGAATCAGCCATCTTGTATGCCATGGCCATGCAGACTAGCCTGCGAGACACCTTAGGAACAGGATAGGAAGTGCGAAAGAGCTGAAGGAGAGGGAGGAGAGCTCAAATAAATGAGAGCAACGGAAGGAAAGAGGGAGAAAGGGGGAGAGAAGAACCAGGAGGGGGAGAGGAGGAGAGAGGAAGGAACAGGGAGGAGGAAGGAGGGAGAGGAGATGGACAAGGAGGGAAGAGGAGAGAGAAAAAGGAAAGAGCGCTAGGCGGGGAACAAAGAGCGTTGAGGACCTGTAACATCCGGGCTTGTCAAAGACAAGAGGCTCACGGTAGAGAGCAGAGGAGGAGGAGGGTGAGTCACCGTTGAGCGTGTAAGTGATCTTAAACCCCATCTTTTCCTCCTCCCCTTCGATTGACACTCTCGCCATGTCAAGGAACACTTGCTGGCCTACGAGCTCTGGATCGAGGGAGGAGGGTGGCATCGTTTCGCCCTCCAGCCGTACTCGAGGAACTTGAAGCTGCCAGCTGTCAGTCGGCAAGATGCCCAGCATGTGTCGACCTGTTCGAGGAGACGATAGGTGGAGATGGTGGAAGGGACGCAGTTGGGGGCGATGGCGATTGTGTTTATCTCCTGTTGCAGTTGAGGAATCGATGAGAGGAGAGGAGAGGAGAGGGAAATGGAGTACAGAAGGAAGGGAAGAGGACCAGGAGGGGGGGGGGCAGGAGGGGGTACAACCTTGCTCCTCACTCGGATCGGTCTGGAATAGACGGAGGAATTCTTACAAGGAACTTTCCCATCCTCATCAAAGTAGATGATGGCGTTTTGAGTGCAACAGGTCATGGACAGAAAGACGCTGTCCTCCTCCCTCGTCTCTTCGAACGTAACGCTCTTCGTCTCCCCTAGGATGCGATACACCGGAGACTTTCCCACCCGACTCGGCCGCCTCCCCTCCTCTACTGCCACAGCCTGCAGCATGAAGTCGCGTGCACTGTCGTCGCGGTGCTGGAGCAGGACAGGCTTCGTGTAGAGGGAGGACGTGGGGGAGTCGGGGGAAGGGATCGACCCGTCGGAGGAGAAGAAGATCTTGGCCCCCGGCGTCGGGCAGGCGATGCTCACCTTTACCTCCAGCTCGTGCTCGCTGAAAGTCTGCCAGGGGACGCGAGGAGCCAGCGTTCCATCCTCCAGCACCCTGGTGTTCCCACTTGCTCTGCTTTAGAAGCGGGCGAGCCAGGCAGTTGCCTGACCTGGGGCTGAAGGAAGGCTGACAAACGCGATCGAACTCGAGCCGATGCTCCCGCTCATTCTCGCTCCTCAGCAGCACGCCGACCTGGGCCATGCTCCACATCCTCGAGTCTCTGGTACCATCACACGTCAATTGGCTTCTGCCCGACAACAAGTAAGAAAACCTGGAGTAGGAGGAGGAGGCGGAGCCCTTGCTCTTTCTGTACCAGTCCAGCTTCTCCTTCACCTGCCATGCATCACTGACTGGTCACCTATCGACTCACTACCTCTTGCATGCTCCCCTCGATGCTCTGAATCTCAGCGTTCGCGCACAAACTCTCACACACCACTTGAGTTACAACCTGCAGAAAGTCATCCGACCCTCTAACACAACAAGAGCAGACCGATCCCTTCTCGTCCATCCAGCCCTCATGAACGGGGCAAGCAGCCCACACCCTGTGCAGAGCAGCGTCATCCTCCTCCTCCTCCTCCTCCTCCTCCTCAAGTGCTCAGGGGCTCACATGACCATAGCGCTCCCTTCCCTCCTTCCCTCCTCAACCGCCAGCGTCGCCGGAGTCCAGCAGAGCAGCGCCTTGGAATCTTGCAAGAAGACGCTGAGCATCACAAGACAGACCCGAAACTTCTTGTGCGAGCTCATCAAGTAGACGCTATCCACCAGTTCCCTTGCGAAGACCCATCTGCCCTCCCGGTCCTGTACTTGCAACCTCTGCTCCTGTGTTCGCCCTAGGGCAACTACCAGCACAACCAGCGCTGCATTGTCTGCGGTGGTCTGCAAGCGACGAGGGTCTTGTGCGAGCGCTGTGATGTTATCTAGAGAGACGTCGTCAAGCTCGCACACCTTCATCTCGGTCAAGACGCGAAGAGGAGAGGAGAAGACTACCTCTTCAGCATCCAGCTCCCGCATGGCCGACAGGAACTTTCTGCGATCAGATGCTGCAGTCTCATTGAAGGGATGGGGCGAGGGTATCGGATGAGCCAGCAAAGTCAGGCCCCGCAGTTGATGAATCCCAATCGCCTCCCTCGCACCCTGCCCGGCATGCATCGATACGTCTCGCTACTCGGGCAACGTCGGAGACGAGGAGGGACAGGGAGGGAGGGAGGAGAGACAGGATCCTGATTCATGGCCTGTCGCAACAAGCACTGGAAGCCTCCATAGAGGGAGAGGAGGGAGGGAGAAACATGGAAGGGGGGGGGGGGGGGGGAGAGCAAGGGAGAGGGGAGAACAGCAGGGAGAACAGGTGCCTTCGATAACAGAATACCAGCAATCCCGAGGCGGGCTGCTAAACATAGCAAAGAAAAAAAGATTTCACTGAGTTTGGCAGCCATCAACGGTCTTATCTTTCACGCTACTTGTGTTTGCTGTCTCCTCCCTTTCCTAGTTTCCTGTCGAGGCGGATTTTGTTGGTTTACCTTTCCTCCTTTGCTTGCTCCGGCTTGCCTTTTCCATGTATGTTGTCATTGAAATCGAAACTTTTGTCTACCTCATGTTAAGGACTTTGTTCTCAGCACAAAGTTGTCTTTCGATCCCTTCTCTGCCTGCCCCCGGCCCCATCCTCCTCAGTCCTCCGCATCCACCACTCCCCCCTCCTTTATCACCACCATGACCACTAACACCACTGCCTCCTCAGTCTACTTCAACCTCTCCTTTAGTATCATCATTGTCTTCTAAATTCCTTTCTTGCCTACAACCCCCCCCTCCCTCCCCCGCTCCCTCCCCTCACCCACATCCACCTGTGCCAGTGTGTACGACTCGACAGCGGACACGACCAGGAGGATGAATCTTCTCCTCCTCCTCATCCACGATATCCGATCGTCTCCAGATCCCGTTGTCCTCATCCTTCTCCTCTTCAACTCCTGCACCCTCCCTTCTCCTGCACCCTCCCTTCTCCTTTTCCCTCCTCTTGAACCCTACCTTCATCCGCTCGCTGGTTCACCCTCCCGCTGAAGCACTAACATGAAACAAAATTCATTCTCAACATGAAACAACATCAAATCTTAACATGAAGCAACATTATATCTCAACATCAAGTAACATTTCGTAACTCTCAACATCACCTCTCCTCTGCTGCCATGCGCTCTTAGCCGCCACACTCTTGTCACAGATCTGTTGTGCTCCCTCGGTAGGTAACAGACAGGAGAAGCTTGACAGCCTTCATCGCGTCACTCCCTCCGTCTCCTGACACCCGAGACGCTGCTGGGTCCACCGAGAGAGGAAACCAGTCGCTGTGCTTGACCGAGCAATCCATATCAGCATGGAGGACCTTTGGGAGAATCTCCTTCACCTGTCGCACTATCATTTCCTTCCTCCATTCCCTCCATCCTTCTCCCCACACTGTCTCCCCCTCCTCCTCCCCCTCCCCTCCCCCTCCTTACCGACACCTTGGTCCATCCAAGAGATCGCATCGGATCCCCTTGACCTCCTGTCCACAGCGACACACGAAGGAAGCAGTTGGCAGAGCAGGATCGGAAGAGGAAGGAGGGTTTGCTGCTGAGCGACTGCCCGTTGGGGTGACCAAGGAAAGGCTGCGGATCGTCGACAAGGAGGGAGGAGGCGGACAAGCTGTGGGCCTGACGTCTCTTGCCTGCCTCTGCAATGACATGGACGGCTTCGCTAACTCCGTCCGCCGCTCCTCCTGTCTTCCTGTTCCTCAACGCCCTCTCAAGCTGAGGCAGGTCAGCCTGTAGGACTGTGATGACAAGGTCGAAGAGGCCGTCCTCGCTCACGGCAAGCGATGCTTCCTCCCCCCGTCGCTCCCTCCCAACACTCTCTGTGAAGTCTTCCAAGTCCAGGGGCCCTTGCAGAGGAGATTCCAAGCTGAGCCGCTGAAGACTTGCATGCTTGTTGCCCATCGGACTGAGCTGAAAACTCGTTCTCACCTCCACTTCCTCTTCTTCTTCTCTCTCCGCATCGTCTTCGTCTTCGTCTTCGTCTTCGTCTTCTTCGTCTTCCTCTTGATTGTTCTCCCTTCTTTCTTCCTGCACGCCCACATCCTTCTCCGCCGTTGTGCTCCCCTGCGAACCCAAGAGGCTCCAAATGGACTTGTGCATGACATCGATTTGCTCCTGGAGGTGATCGAACTCGTTGCCAGGCCTGCCATGTGAGCTTCTTGGAGCCAGGAAGGAAACAGAGCTCGCAGAAGAAAGAGGAAGAGGGCCTGGGGTCGAGTCTGCATCTTTCCTCTCCCTCCTTCTGTTCAGCAAGCTCATCAGTCCCTTAGGGCGTTCACTGCCAACTTGTTGGTTGTCTGAAGCTGGAAGGGTGGACGACGACGATGGCGTCTCACGAGAATAGACAGCCTCTCTCGCTCGCGCTGCCTCCTCCTCCTCCTCCTTTTGCTCAGCCGATGGATCGACGCTTCGCTGCTGGACAACTTCTCGCTGGTAGATCTCAAGTGAAGCATTTAGCGCTGCTACCTGCGTTACCATCACTTCCTCGCCCCCAGTCTCGTCAGAGGAAGCTCGTCACTTACGGTCGCCCTGAGCTGGGATCGTTCTTGGAGCAGCTGAATGATCTGTTTCTCTTTCGCAGGGCTGTGAGGTGTAAAGTTGGGGTCTTAAAGGGGAATTGAGCGAAACCTTTCTGTCCTCCTCTCTTGCCCATTCCACACGCTGCTGACAGCCTCCTGCATGAGCATGAATAAGCCGTCTCCCTGCTTCTTCCGCCATCATCATCATCATCATCATCATCATCATCATCATCATCATCATCATCACAACCGCCGCCGCCGCCATTACATTGCTTAATCTTTTCTCCTCTTATCTTCTCCTCATTCTCTTTCTCGACCTCACCTTCAATGCTTTTTCCGACTCCTTCAGCGCCGAGGCGAAGGACTCTGACTGAGATTCTGCGCGCAACCTGGTCGCTTCCAGCTGCGCACGGAGTCTTTCCTTTTCTTCCTCGAGCTTATCGCACTTTTCCTCTAGCGAACAGCAACTGTCACTGACGTCAGCACACCCGCCTGCCCTCCCGTTGCCACGTCTATCGCCTTCTAGTCATTCGCTGCACCCTGGACAGCAGCCGATCTCGCTCGCTGCAGCAAAATCACACAAGACGAGTCCGCTTCTCTCTCACCTCTTCAGACGGATAACTTCAATGCGCTCAAGCTCCTCCATCGCCTCCCTACAGCACAGAATCGTCAGAATTCCTCTCCGTCCTTCCTCCTTCCTCCTTCTCTCTCCCCCTGCCTTTCCCTACCTTGTCCCTCTCCCTCTCTCCCTCTCCCCTTCCCTATCTATCTGTTTCAGCTCCTCTAGAAGCAAGGCTGAGAGGAATGAGAGGAGAACTTACATAAGACTCGCATTTGAACTCGCAAGCTTCTCGTTCATCTCAAGAATCTTTCGGATCTCCGCAAAGAACACGGCTGGAGAGCGAGATGAGGCAGAAGATTAAGGAAGTCAAGTACCTTCACTCTCGTGCTCTTCCTCATCCGGGCTCGAGTTCAGACTTCTCCGATGTCTCTCCTGATTCGTCCTTGACAACATCGACACCTGCAGCAGGTCAAGACCGCAACAAACTATCCTCGCTCTACCGGGAAGACGCAGAATCTTCGCCTGCTCAACCTGAGACAACAAGGTCAAGAGCAGCAGGAGCGCGAGGGATGAAACCGCGATCTCCTTGCATGCAACTCTGAAACCTTGAGAAAGAGTCAGATAGAGGGTCAGAGGGCGAGATATACCTTATGGAAGAGACCAGTAGCAGCGTCTCGCGAGCGCTTACAGTCTTTCTGGATCTACTTCATCGTGAGATATGAGTGAGTGATGGAGCAGTAGGTTACAGATCGAGATAGCATTGCTCTTTCCTTCAAGAATGTCTTGATGCTTTCTTCCACCTGCTCGAATTCAAACACTGACTTGCGAAACAATTCACATCAACCTCTTCATGAAGCTGTTCAAGAGCACCTTTGTCACGCTATCATACACGTTCAGTCATATTATAATGACAACAAGGATATCAAACGTTCTTCTTCACAATTTCTCGGAATGCATTCAAGACGAACTTGGAGCTCGCCGTCCTTCTCTGCATGGCCGTCTGCTCATCGCTTTCCCGCAGCGCCTCTAACATCAATGCCATCTCCTGGTAAATTTCGTCGGCAGATTTACACCAAAGAACAGGAGCGGACCTGATTGGCTGACTCCAGAAGCTGCTCCAGTCCAGCTGCAGACTCTCTCTCCTCCTCAAACGCCTAGAAACGCGTCATTCTCTCGTGGCAGCCTCTCGCGTAAGATCACCTTCATGCATCGCCTGATGCAGTCGCTGGATTGCCTTAGGTGTTGCAGCAAAGACAGGAGCAACTGTGCGAGGGTGAGAAGAGAACTTCTCCGACGTAGCTGCAGGCAGGTATGACCTCGTCATGGGTCTGGGCACTTGCAAGGGAGGGTGACAGTTCTTGTTCCTGCCCTGAAAACCCATCGTCCTCTCTCCCATCGCCGTACCCGCACTGACTCAACTTATGATGACAAGTTGCCTGCATGAGACAGTCAGCTGCAAGAGCTGAGAGCTCTGAGGCGAGGCTGCTTGCCTGCAGTTCGAGCGCCTCCCTCACAACCCTCGTCGCCTCCTCCAGCGCTCTCATGCTCCTGGTCCCCCTGAAGCCATAACGGTCTTCGGTGTAAAACAAAAAAAAACAGATACTAAGTTTTAGTTCGCCGGCCCGGGCCGCCCGGCCGGGCCCCGGCACGCGGTTTCTGATCGGATCGCCGACGGACTCAGACGCCGACCGGACGGTCGGAAGGCTTCAACGGCCTTGGTGATCCCCGGCCCGAAATCAGTACGGGCCGATGATCTGTAACTGCGTCAGCCTTACACTCAGGTGCCTTCCGGGCAAAAAACAATCAAAACTGCGCTGATCATCGATGACCTTCACTATCGGCAGTGAAGTTCGATCGAGTAGGCTATGATTCAATTCTAGTCCTTTGTACATCCTTTTCACACTGCCCCGGGGCTCTACATGGCTGCAAGCACTTTTATAAATTGTTTGCAGGACATGCTTTTCAATAACAAAACGGCGTTTTCCCAGACTCTTCATTTTGTCATCTTCGAGTTTTCCTTTCTCAGCAATGGAAACGTCTCTTCTTATGCGGTTTTCATCAACGGAACGTGCTCGTCCTCCTCTTTCGTATGCCATCATTTTCGCGCCCTCCGAGCTCAGACTTCCTGGCCCTCTCCCACTTCGGAAGATGCTGCCAGTGTAGGTCTTCAGAGCTTACAGTCAGGCCCGGCGGACCAGTGGGTCATCGCGATGATTTAATCATCAACATCAATCGGATAAAAGTTGACGTCACAAACACGAGGTGGTAGCGGAAACAGCACTGCTGAAGCATCGTCAGTACGCTGCTCACGTGCTTGAGTCTTTCTGACAGCAGCCTTCGAGCTCCTTGCTTGGCTAAGCCTGTCAGTCGCTCTTCTCCAGCAGGATCATGCTACAATCCGATTAGTGTGCTCGTGCTCCATTCAATTCCTGAACAGACGAGAGCTTGTCGGAGACATCTCAACCTGGTACGAAGAATCGTAGGAAGCAGGAGACGCTCCCCTAGTTTCTTGCTGGTACGAGGCTCCACTCACTTAGTTTATCCCTCAAACATTCTCGTGAGGATGCTATGGAAGTAACTCAGCTCTTTCTCTGTGACGTAGCCTCGCAGCATCACTCGTCGAAGGCTGTTAGCGTTGAACTTTCGCTTCTCTTGCAGAATTCGAGCGTCAATCCTGCCAATCAACGTCAGACGATCGCACGCCATGATTGCATGCTGCTGCTCTCGCCTGTCCATGGCATGCACAACTTCCAATCTTGTTGCATGCCGAGCTCCACGAGGGACTTGCTCTTGCTCTTGCTCTTGCTCTTGCTCTTGCACCTGTGGGTACGACGGCCGCCTCGCACGCTCTTCTCGGAACTGCCACAACTCGTACCCGACGATGGCAACAGCATGCGAAAGGTTCAAGACACCGAAGCCTAGCGGGATCAAAGTGAGAAGCCCAAGGATGGGAGAATTATCACCGGGAAAAGACGGGATGTTGAGGATATACTCTGCATGCGCGACCTCTTCGTTAGTCAAACCACTTCGCTCCGCTCCGAACAACAAGCCGAGTTTCATCACGTGTTTTGTATCCACCAGATGTTTCTCTTCGAAGTTGCGAACAGCCCTGACGTCAGACAGCAAGTATCGAAGCTGAGAGGGAAAGATGACTGGAATGTCTTCCAGGGTTCTTCTCCTAGCCGTGCAGGCAACCACATGATCGTTGTCGCGAATGGCGTCTCGTACCTTCACCTCAGTGAGCAGCAATCAGACAACATCTCTTTCACATTGTCGTAGATCTTGGCATTCTCTAGGATGGGGACTGCAGCGCAAGCGTTGGACATGGCGGGCTCGGACAAGGGGTCGCATCTTGGCCGAACAATCCTCAGATCCGACAGGCCGAAGTTCATCATGACTCGGGCCACCGACCCGACGTTCCTGTGCAAGGCATCAGAGCCCGGGGGGAGGAGGAGAGCAAGAGAACATGTCCAGGTAGGGCTGTACAAGGACGATCGAGGGCTGCTTCCAGTTGCTCTGCGACTGATCAAGCTCTGATATCTCGCAAAGGTCCCTGGACATTCTTGCTTGTGACACCCACCGCCTCCCGCCGATCGCCGATCTCAGTCTGCAAGCAGCAGAGCATGCTCTGCTAAGTCTCTCGCGGTACCTCCTCGGTCCTTCATGCAGACTTGCGACCGCCATCGAACGCTCAGCCCTGCATGCCATCGCCAACCCTGTCGCCAACCATTGTCTTGCCATGCCTCCCACGGACACAAATCAAGGTACCCCCCCCAATTGTCTGTATCCACCCACCCTCCCTCACTGCCCCCCTGAAGCCTCTAAACCCTAGCGGCCCCCGATATGGTGGAGCGAAGCTGAAAGGAGGGCAGGGCAAAGAGCAGGGGTGTGTGTGAGAGAGAGAGAGAGAGAGAGAGAGAGAGAGAGAGAGAGAGCAAGCGAGAGATAGAAAAGAGAGGAAGAGAGAGAGAGAGAGAGAGAGAGGAAGATAGGGGGAGGGTGGAAGAGGTAGTGCGAGATGAAGAGAGAGGGAAAGAGGGAGAGAGGGTGAATGAGGGGTGCAGAAACGAGAATTCCGTTAGAAGAAAGGAGCTGAACCGAGATCAAGATCAAGGAAAGCACAAGCACGACCAGACGCGTCTGGTAGTTTGAACGAAGCAAGCTCCACAAAATTTCGGTGAAACATGGGGGGCGCAGCTTTTCTCGTTCTCATGAGATCCTCCATACCCTTGAGCATGTGCCTTCCACATCACCATCGAGCCTGCACAGCTCTGAGGCCAGGAGCCATGCTGCTGAATGCGAAGATGCCACGAGGGGATGGCAGAATGCAAGGCAACCCAGGAAGGGGCTGGCCTATCCCTTCTGTGTGGGAGAGCAGCGAGGCAAGTGAGCTGGAGCAAGAAGAGGAGAGGTTCTATCCCAACAGCCGAACAGGAGACTCGAGGACAAAGACAACAAGAGGAGGTCGAGGTGGAGGATCGCCTCCTCTCACCTTCTCCAACTCATTTGGGATCCCCGAGGTTCAGCTTGACCGGCTGCCGTCATTCAGCTACACCTCCAAGAGCGAGGCTAGCAGCAAGCAGGAGCAGGAGAGTTCGGCAGCGAGTAGAAGGGACTTGGTGTGGGAGGAGGGAGCACGAGGGTATCTGATGCCGGTACCGATCAAGGTTATGATCTTCATCGATGGGACATGGCTCTTCTACAGCTTCTTCAGCAGAGGTCAGAGCCGTTGCCCCTTCATCAAGAAGTTCGGAACCAACTGGATAGAAGACTTCTCCATCGACTGGGCGGAGCTCCAGGCCTTCATCCGAGAGACCTTGCAGCGTCATCTGCCTGGTCGCTTCGTGGACGTAATGCGCGTTATCGTCTTCGGCTCGGTCCGCAGCGGCACCCACCCGTCGAGCCTTCGCGTCCGCATGTTCCAGGAGATGGATAGGAGCAACTTTGAAGTTCACCTGCTCACACACACAGGAGGACAAGAGAAGTGCGTCGACATCAGTCTCGGTGCGACAATGCGATGCTGGCGGGGCCAATGGTGACGGTTTTGCAGCGGTGGATATGATGCATTATGCTTCACTTCAGGATGGGTACGATGCCTGCGTGCTGATGACAGGCGACAAGGACTTCATGCCCGCCATGTCGAGAGTCAAACAGGTCTGTTCCTGCCTTACCTCTTCGTCCTCAACAATCACTACCAAAACCACAACCTCATCATCATCATCATCATCATCATCTGCATCATCATCTCCATCATCATCGCCATCATCATCGCAATCATCATCATCACCACCACCACCACCATCGCCATCATCATCTCCATCATCATCTCCATCGCCATCGCCATCATCATCATCATCATCATCATCATCATCATCATCATCATCATCATCATCATCATCATCATCATCATCAACTCACCAGTCCTGTCATCTACTTTTCCGCTACCCTTCATGTGAATCAACAATCCAGAAAGGGAAAAGAGTTTTTCTTGCATCGATGCGCAACAGCTGCAATCGCGATCTCCTAGATCGCAGGTGAGTCAAAGGAAACAAAACCTTGTTTGACTTCTCTTGGTTCAGCTCGCATGTTTACGACTTCGAGCCGATCTTCATCGACGACGCCATTGACAGGTAGAGGCCGCTGCCGACCTAACTCCCTCTCTGCCCTCAACTCTCCTCTTCACTTGCATGCATCCTCTCCCCGACATGTCCTCATAATGATCAGGATCACCGTTCGTCGCAAACAGAAGGACAGCGTGATTGAGCTAGGTCACATCCAGCAGGTTGCTCTCTCCCCGTCTTATTCCTCGTCTCCTCCGATCCTTTCCGCTTCTTATCTTGTTGAAACTTCCAGCCTCGTCCCCCCCCTCTACGACTTCTCACGCTCCTTCACAGAGCTTGTCTCAGCTGGTCGTGAATTTCCTTGCGGACAACGGGGGGCGGCAGACCATGCGAGACGTTGGGCGACATCTGCAAGCCAACACGATCGACGGGAGGTAGAGAGAAGGAGGAGAAAGCGAAAGACTGAAGGGCTGGAGCAGCAATGCGCTCGAGTTGTTGAGGTATCACTACCAGAATCTAAGGAGCTTCCTCGACGAGGTGAGGAGGGAGAGTAGCAGGAGGAGGCAAGCGAGATAGTTGAGGAGGACTAAGACAAGCCGTGTAGTCGCCAGAGCTGTTCTTCATCAATGGGGCTAACCTGGAGTTGCTGGACAAGAACGGCGATCACGGTGGTGGAGGGGAAGGGGAGGGGAATGTGCTAGCGCTGAGACTGCAGCACAGATCGATACAACTACATCTCAGAAGAGGATATGGACAAGACGAGCGACATGGAGGAGAGCAAGAAAACTTCTGTTGACATGCCAGAGGAGTTTGAGGCCTTCTCCGAGCCTTTCGACAACAAGTTGGAGGCATACGAGATTGAGCAGGAGGGGAAGCAACATGGAGCATCGTCGAGCGAGAGCTCACTGGACTTCAGTCAGCTGGAAGTGGAGACAGTGAAGGTTGATCCGCAGCTTCCTGCTCCTGCTCCTGCTCACAAGAGCGAGTCGCTCAAGTTTGTGGTCCATCCGAGCATCGTCGGAGACCTCAAGGTCATTCAGCTCAAGGAGATTCTCAAGGAGTACAAGTGAGCTCCTTCCTTTCCTTCCTATCCCCGTGCTCCCCTCTCACTGTGCTTCTCCCTCCTCAACTCCCCCCTCGTTCCCGTGTTTCATTGCTCTCACCCACTTGCAGTTGCTCTACCACGGGCAATAAGTCTCAGCTCGTCGATCGCCTCCTCGAGGTCATGCGAGCAAAAGGAGGTCAATCATGAGGCCTGGCTTGTGCTCAGGATGTAGGCAGTGGGAGCAGAGGAAGGATGTCGGCGAGCATTGAGCATCTCTTGCGAGTAGCGAGATAGTTGAAGCTTTGAAGTTCCGTGAGCCGAGAGACCTGCACCAGCTCTCACTCCAGCTCTCACTCTACCTCCTCCTCCAGCTCTCACTCCACCACCTCCTCCAGCTCTCACTCCAGCTCTCACTCTACCTCCTCCTCCAGCTCTCACTCCAGCTCTCACTCTACCTCCTCCTCCAACTCACTGTGCCTCCTCCTTCACCTCACTGCGCCTCCTCCTCCTCACTTCAACTTCTCCATCCTCTCACTCCGCCTCTCATTCCTCCTCCTCTTTCTTACTTCTCCCCTCCCTGCCTCTCCCTCCTCTTGCTCTACTTCACCGCTCTGTGCTTGGAGAACGAGAGCTCCTTGACAGCCGACAGAGCCGCTAGAGAAACTCCCAACCTCCCAGTGCTGCTCCATTCCGTATCTCCGATGTAGGTCGTTGCTGCGCCTGCAGCGAGTGAGGCCAGCAAGTAAGTTCACCAGTTGAACTTACTCGAGGATGCGCCCCCTCGACGAAGTACAGCGAGCTCTGGGCTGTCGACGGTGGCAGGAAGAGGATGAAGAAGCTGGTAGGAGAGTGAGGAGTGAAGATTGTCGAGGGAAGAGGAGGAAAAGTTTCTTTGGCCTCTGCACCTGGTGATCCTCGGATTCGACAACATCCTTCAGAAGTTCATTCGCAGGTTTTTCTGCCTGAGGCGACGAGGCTGAGACAGCGACAAACACAAACAAACAAACAAACAAACAGACAGACAGACAGACAGACAGACAAACAAACAAACAAACAAACAGACAGACAGACAGACAGACAAACAGACAAACATGATCTCACCGAGATGATCAGGCCGCAGCCTTCATCGTACAAGATGTCAATGAAGTTCATGAACCTCCTCGCCTCCTGCATGCCCAACGTCATTGTCGCTTCCTTCCTAGACTTCAACATCACATTGTGCATGTGAAGATCAAAACTTGGAACTCCGGAGAGGATGCATACGTCGAATCTTTCATCTCAGTCATCTACCGACGTGCTATTGAGTTGCAAGCTTACCTGTTGGCGATCGTCAGGAAGTCTGTTGCGCCAGTTGCACTGTTGAAGAGGGAAGCAAACTCTAACCAAATGATTCTCCTCCCCAACTTCTTAGCGAGCAAACTTCTCCCGTAAGGTAGAGAAATCCTGCCACTCTCACTGTGATGTTGCTGGATTATATTTCTCTGACAGTCCAGAGCAGAAAGGAAAGTCCACATGACTGACAAGCTGTCAAAGGATTCCCTTGCGTTCGAGAGTCGGTACAGCCCGGGTGCAGGCCGCGCGTCTTGGCGATGATCCCTGTCCTCAACCCCACTGCATGACATGTCGAAGATGAAGCAATGGTCAGCAAGAAGCCTCTCTAGCTTGGGCATGTAAACATGTCTGTTCAACCCGCCCTCGAATAACCTGCTCGGAGGAACATTTGACGTTGCAATCATGCAGACGCCATGCTGCCACAGGACAGGCAAAATCTGAGAGAGGATGGCAACATCTGCGATGTCCACAAGCTGAACTTCATCAAGGCACAAAACTTCACTCTCGCGAGCCATCTCCCGCGCCACCTCCTGAATCGCAGAAACTCCTGGTCGGGTTTGCTTGCAGGTGTGTATGCGTGAATGAATTGAAAGCATGAACTCATGGAAGTGAATTCGTCGAGTGGGAACTAGGCTGCGAACACTCTCATAGAACATGTGCATTAGCATTGTCTTCCCAGCTCCGACAGGTCCGTGGATGTAACAACCCTTCCTTGCCTTCGCGACGCTGTTTGACTTGGGCCCGTCTGAAATTGCCGCCTCCTTTCTTATTCTTGAGAAGATCAATGATAAAGTCCTCAACAAATTCCTCTGCCTCTCGTCCTCTCTTATCACTTCATCTCGAATCATGGCTTCGTAGCGCCGTGCGAAATCGTTCGATCTGCCGTTTGAGAACTTTCGTTGCTGAAGCCAAGGCCATGCCTTGTTCAACGTGCGTGACAACAGCCTTGTCACACATGGCCCACCCATCTCCGCTCTTGTTCCTCCTAGACTAGGTCTTGACAAGTCGCCATAGCTTGCTGTTCCACTACCCTCCACCACTCGCACCCTTGTTAGTCCACTGCGATTCATTCGCTGATAGAACTATAAAACCCGCCTCAGAGTACCACACAGACAATTGAAAAGGCATCAATTGCATTCATATCCACTATTTAATGAGTATCTTTACACTGAGGCGAGCCCATCCAATTACCCAATTTCACAAACTTTGCGGATTCAAACTTTGAGCGAAACTTTCTCATGTCCAATTTTGTATTCCAAGGGAATGGCAACCCCCACCCCCTCTTTTAATGGACATTATACCCCTACCGGAAATTATTTTTTAACCCCACCCAACCCCTCTTGTAGTACTTTACACCCTCCACCCTGTCGTTGAACCACCCTGACCCATTGATTTCCCGTTTATTTAGTACCAGTAGATACCTAGATGTACCGGTGCAGGAATCCTCTCACCCTACCCTCATGGCTTTTTACATCGCGTCTCTCATGTTTCTTACACGAGGCCGCCGCAAGGAATGTCGCGTGGGAAGAAATAATGAAAGAGATGGGACGAGGACGAGGACGAGGACGAGGACGAGGACGAGGAGGATGGCAAGGATTACAAGAGCATGAGAGCATGAGAGCGTTGAAACAGGAGGAAATGATAGGCTGACAAGAGGGATAGAACCACGAGTATGGGTCGCAGAGCGAGGCGTAGCAAGGCGAGGTGGGCGGGGGAGGCGGAGAGGATGGTGGGGGGGAACTAGATGGGGCAACATCACGTAGAGAACAGCAGATGCATTGCAAATCTCATGAAGGCCTGATGGAAATTCGATAGAAGAAGAGCTCCTGCCTTTTCAGTTTGATGAAAGCTCCTTCTTGTTCATACCCTAATTGTATTCTTGGACAGGCGAACATGCTTCGCAGCATTCTCTGCCTCGCTGCATTGTTGAGCGCGTCAGCGTTCCACCATGGTGGTATGCTTCCTCTTTCTCGGTGATCCATACAGTATCATTCCTTGTTGCCTCACTAACGAGCTTGCCCTATCAGAAGCTCCACTCCTCGTCTTCGTGCAGCGCAAGCGCACAGCCGTCCTCAGACGAGGTGCCATAGAGCAGCATGATATGTCTTCTGGTCGACTGATGGGAGTGGTGCAGAAAGCATGCTACCATGCCGCGCATGGCGTTCGACATGGAAGCATTGATCCAGCAGGTCACGCTGCTCGCCCTCACCTTCTGCGTTGCTGAGTCAAGGGTGACAGACCAAGGACAAGCGACTCGAGCACCTTGAGGAGCAGGCCATGTTTGCTCTCAAGCAAGTCGACAACTTTCAGAATGCTGTTTTCCCCAACGCAATGATTGCTGGAGATTGTGTGATTACACACTTGCTTCACAGACTCGGGTACCTCGAGAGCGGCAAGGTTGATGGATTGAGTTGATGTCTATGGTCGTGACATTATATCAGGTCAAGATCATGGTGGTCGACACCTTCCACCTGTTCCCAGAAACGATGACCTTCCTAAACGAGCTCGAGAAGCATTACAAGTTCAAGGCCGAAGTCTTTCAAGCTGTTGGGTGCGCGGACAAAGCTGAATACGACAAGAAGGTTCCATTTCTGCAACACCTCTTCGTTTGTTGCATTTTCCCCTCATTTTCTTGCAGTTTGGTGCCGACTTGTGGAAGATTGACATCGAGCAGTATGACAAGGTTTGCAAGGTCGAGCCATTCCAGCGAGGTCTCACCGACTGTTCTTTGAGGGATGATCTGATTTCAAAGTTTTTCAGGACTCAAGACTCTCAACACTGACGTCATGATCAACGGGCGCAGGAGGGATCACGGCTTCGAGCGTGCATACATCGATCTGTTCGAGAATGCTCCCATCGGCGGAGGGTTGGCAAAGGTGACACGAGGAAAATGTTGTCAAACTGCTGTATGACATAAGTCAGATCAACCCGTTGGCTTATTGGACCTTCGAGGATTGCTTCGACTACATCACCAAATACAAGATCCCAATCCATCCCCTGCACGCTGATGGATTCCCTTCGATTGGCGACGCCAAGGACACTGTCAAGGTGCCTGAGGATGGCTCCGTGAAGTTCGTCGACTACAAGTTTGTCGGAAAGGTGGGAATGAGATTGAAAGGACGATCACATCCTAATCGAGTCACAGAAAGCCGAGTGGTTGGACTACGCGGCTGAGCGCAAGGGAAGGTAAACGCGTCAGCAACGCAGCTGCTGTCTCCTCAGCCCTTACAGGTTCACTGGTCTCGCCAACAAGGATGGATCAGCCAAGACCGAGTGCGGCATCCATGTGGCCGGAGCTGAGAGGACCTTCGACAGGGACTTGTGGGAGGACGGCAAGAGCAAGGTACGGGGATGAGGCGAAGTTGGCATGTTGTTGATGTTGTGACAGGTGAAGAACCTTTCCAAGAACGACGCCATCAAGATCACATCTGCCGGCAAGGACGCTCTTGTTGTCACTTATGCTCCCTGGTGCAAGTTCTGCATGGTCCGGCAAATGATGTTGGCATCGCGAGGGTCTGACGTGTCGCAGGGCATGGAGGAGGAGCTCGAGAAGTTCGCTTCCCAGTACGGAGACAAGGTAATGAATGAGAGGACGGCAACGGCCATAGGAGCTGCGATCTCATTTTGAGAGCAGATCCAAGTTCTCAAGTACCGTGGAGATGAGGACCGTGAGTTTGTTCAGGAGACCTTCAAGGCCAAGTCTTTCCCAACCATCTCTCTCGTTACCAAGGACGGACAAGTGAAGGTCCTCGAGCCTTCCTCCCCTGAAGTTCGCACTGTCGAAAACTTCAAGAAGTTCACCAACGTTTGAGCAAGCAAGTGTGAAAATCAAGACCTTGCCACTTTCTGCTGGCCCCGGGCATCGAATCGGACTCCTCATGTCTTGTGACGAGCCAGTAAAGTCAAGCTCAGTGAACCATAATTGTGCCACCGGTACCATCTTATCAGTATCTACTTCTCAGCCCAGTCCCGTACGTGCTGTGTGACTGACCCGGGCCGGGTCAGAGTCAGAGGTAAGGCTTTGTACCGTAGTACGGTAGTCGTGTCCGGCGAGTCAGACTCTTGGCCGAGGGCCGCCGCGCCGCGATCAGTCCGCCCGGCCGTGCTGAGTCAGCCCCCCCGGCAACAGACTAATTTACTTAGTCAATTTACTAACTTAGTTAAGTTTACAATCAGAACGAGGACAACGGCAGGAGTACGGTCTTTTACTCAAAGTTCAGTCAAAAATCAGTACGATGACGGACAATGCCTTTGAGGAGAGTAGAGGAGGCTTGACCCGCCGCCGGTCGGACATCTTAACTGCGCGCAGGACCACGAGAGTAGATCGACTAACGGTTGAAGGCTCGGACCGTCGTTACTGTACCCGGCCCCCGGGCGTACTAGGTGACCGGCGGGTCACGCGGCAGTGCGGCCCGGCCACGGTGCCGCCAGAGTCTATATCGGAGTAAGAGTCGGGCCCGGCCCGCGAAGTCGATTAGACTCATTTCCGATTCATGGCATGGTGACAGTGATGGCGGGGGGACGGAAAGGGGCAAGGCAGGGGCTGACGACGCTGCTCCTCCTGTCCAGCCTGTCCCTCCTCTCGTGCAGAACATGGCCTGTCGTAACAAGAAGTACAGACGATGGGAGTGAATGGGACAGGAAGGTTGAGCTGAAGAGGAGAAAGGCGTGTGCTAGAGAAGGGGTGCCGCTCTCGATGGCCGTCAACATTGATCTTGAGGAGTACTCTTCCTTAGACGAGGACGAGTCTCTACCCTCGTCAAGCGTCTACAAGGATGATGTCCAGATCGAGCTGTGGAAAGCAGCACAAAAAGGCTTGCCCTTCGTTGACCTGGTCAAGTTTGTTAACACGAGCTTGTTCAGGAGACTCCAAGGGGGTAGCTTTCATGCTGGAAGCTGGCGGTTGAGGCCCTTGCATTCCTTGCCGCAGATGATCTTGTCAGCAGGGGACCCGAACAAGCCTCATCCGCAGACGAAATTCCGAACATCATTGCATCTCGCGGTAATCTCAAACGATATCTCATGCGTCGAGTTGTTGGTGAAGGCTGGGGCTGAAATAGGTTTGTGCCAACTTGGATCTCTTGAAATCTTCCTCACAGCATCGTACAGAAAGCCGAGCTGACTATGGTCGAACGCCCCTGCACTTTGCTTGCTGGCCATGGAAGAGTGAAGATATAGGGAGAGATGTTCCATTTGGTGAATCCGCAAGAGCATACTGCGAGCATTGTGTATGACATGGTTGCCAGGCAGCTTTGAGCTGAAATTTGAGATGTCAAAGTGTCTGGTCCCTCCTGGACAAGCTGATCTTTCAAGTTCTTTGACGGTTGTCGACCAGGTACGATTGGGCGCCAACGTGAACGCGAGAGACAACGACGGAGTTTCCATTCTCCACACAGCTGCAGGCGCAGGCTTCGTGAAGCTCTGTGGTCTGTTGCTTGAAAGCGGAGCAAGGCTAGAAGCTGTTGACGTGGATGGCAACACGCCTCTCATGGCCGCAGCTCAACAAGTGTGACCTGACTCTTGTCGATTTTTATGCACAATGACCAGGCTGACAGGGCCGTGACGAGGCGTGCGGGTTCTTGTTGGCTGCTGGTGCCAAGATAGGCAGTGAGAGTTCAAGTGGGCAGACAGCTGAGACCCTGGCCGAAGCTTCATCGTGTCACACACTCGTATTAGAACGTTTCGGCGCCAATTTGCATGACCTTGCTGCTCCAGAGTCAAAAGCTACGTAATTATGCGGAAAATGGGAAATGGGAGGACGTGAATCCACGTAGAAGGCGAAGACATCGGGTCAGAGACATTGAAGAGAAGAAGAAGAAGAGGGCGATAGCAAATCTGCCTTCTATAGTTCATTGAAGAGCATGACAACTTATCTATGGACTTGTTGCTGGATTTTTGTGCTCCTGTGGATTCGATCCAATAACTGATAAAAACCTCGACATCGCTCTTCTTTCTGACATTAACATTGACGACATTTCTTTCAGAGATCAAGACTGAACTCTTGACGATCCAGACCTGGATGAGCGAAAAGTTTCCAGCAGGTTGATCGAATTCGGCATTCTCGTCCGCTCCAAGATCAGTTGCAAGCGAATTCCAATGCTATGGGAGGTAGCTGGGGCGGACGAAGGGCGATTGACCTGCAATGAGCAGAGTCTGAGTGACTTGCGAGAAGAACGGCAGGCTACCTTCTTCCACCGCTTCACCCTGTCGCTTGCTGTGGTCGGATAGGGTCGGACATGTACCTTTCATAGGTGACTCTATTATCAGGCTTGTAGGCATGCTTGTGGAGACGGTAAATGTTCAGCAGGACTGGATTGGCACAATCACCCATGAAGCTCCACGTTCTGAACGAAAACATTCAGTTGAAGGACAACCATGCATCTACGCAAACTTCGATTCTGAATCATTTTCCTTGGCGCTGAACGTCATCCCTTCCCCTCGCATCACTCAAGTAATATCTGTCTGTCTGTCTGTCTGTCTCTATCTGACCACGCCTAGTGGGAGTAGACACACTCTCTAGAATGAATCAATAAGATCCCTTACAAGGCCTTGATCTCTACAAGATACAAAAGGAGGAAGTAGACACTCTCTCTAGAATGAATCAATAAGATCCCTTACAAGGCCTTGAGCTCTACAAGATACAAAAGGAGGGAGTAGACACTCTCTCTAGAATGAATCAATAAGATCCCTTACAAGGCCTTGAGCTCTACAAGATACAAAAGGAGGAAGTAGACACTCTCTCTAGAATGAATCAATAAGATCCCTTACAAGGCCTTGAGCTCTACAAGATACAAAAGGAGGGAGTAGACACTCTCTCTTGCTTCCATCTCTTTCTTTCTGCCAACCATCTGCTCCCCTGACCCACACATTGTCCGACTTTGAGTCAAGAAATGTATGACCGTCACGGTTTTACAGTGTTGACTGATTTTTAACTTAACTTTGAGTAAAAGTTTACGGTACCGCCCTCCGCCGGCGGCCCCCGCGGCCGCCGGGCCCGGGGGCCGGTACCGTACCACGTGACGGCAGCGACACTCTATCACTACTGAGTCGGACTCCCGGTGAGCTCTATCTATCACTGAGTGCTCTATCACTGATTCGGCCCCCGGCCACCATGCGGGCCCGGTAGTATAGTACCGTGTTCCTGGTGGCAGTGACCGTGTGCCGCACTGCAGTGCGGCAGTGCCGCTGATGCCGATCTCTGGCATCAGTGACCGTGGACGCCGCGGCCGCGGAGCGATCACCGATCACGCCGCCCCGGCGTCCGGGCTCAGCAGCCTCCGCGCTCCGCCGGGCGCCGGCCGGGCCGGGCCGAGCGGGGCACTTCGGCATCATCCGACCGTCCGCCGCCGCGAGTCCGGAGTCCGAGTCCGCCGGGCCGGCAGCCGCTGAGCTGCACTGAGTGCAAGCCGCCGGGGCCCGGGCGGTGTATCGCAGTATGCCATCCGTTATCGGACTGTCATGCCAGTGCCCGGCCACTGTCACTTGCCGGACTCGAGGCTGAGACGGTGCCAGCTGACCGTCCGGCGGCCGGCGGTGCCGCACTGCCGGGCAGAGACTACTCGAGTCTAGCCTAGTAGCAGCGGCAGCTACCGTACTACGCCGTGCGGCGGCCCGGCGCTCGGAGCCGGGCCTGAGTCAACACCCGGCGGCCGGGCCGCGGAGCGCGGCCGCCGGGGAGTCCAGATTCATTGAGGCCCGGGGGCCCCGGCCGCCGGCTCTCAGTGTAAAAGCCTGAGAGCCTCAGTTGTCTGTCACGAGTCCTTCCATCCGGCAAGTCACGCTGGACCGTACTTCTCGTTGCCAAGTTGCCACGGGCCCCACTGAAAAGAATGCTGTCACTGCGTGGGCCCCGTGACCGGATCACGAGGTTCGACCGTCAGCATGAAACATTACGACCTTCAAACTTCCTTACGGCCACCCAATCGCACCATGACACGGAGAAAAAGGTCTCAACTTATAACTCCCTCGTGACCTGCTGACAAAAATTCCTCTCCCTCCCCTCGAATCAAAAATTCATCACCACTGTGCTTCACGCTGCCCCTCTGCCCTTCTCCTGCCAAGCTCACAGTACTGGTCTTCTTGCTTCAAAACAGCTCTACATCACCTGTTCCTTCCTGCATGCGCTTGCCATGCCTCCTACTGTAACCGATGTACCCGCCCAGAACCGTTGTACCTCTCTCCGCTCTGATCCCTCGTCCCGCTCCTTCTCCCTCGACCAGTCCCAAAGACGACGTAGCAGCTGGGCCCGAGGACCCTTCTCCGCAAGCTGCTCCAGCGTCTCCCTCCCCGACCCCGACTCCGCCCCCGTCATCACCCTCACCCATCGATCCTGCCCCGCTTGGCTCCTCGGCGTGGTGTGCAAGGGCCCGCACTTCCGATCCATCGACCAGCACGGCTGCCTGACGGACGGAGGAGCGTACGAGAGGCTGGGGAAGAGCGCGCGGGCGTGCCTGGCCAAGTCCATCAGCCGGGACGGGAACTTCACGAGCGTCAGGCTCCCGACCTTCCATCAGGAGCTGGAGCGCGGGGGCCGGGAGGGGAGCAGCGTAGCTACAAGAGAGGGAAGCAATGGGGAGGAGGCGCCGTACGATGAAGGGGGGGAGGAGGAGGGGCTATCAGGGCGGTACTTCTTGGAGTAGGGCTTTCAATAAAACGACTTGAGAACGTGTGAGCGGAGAAGGAGCGGGAGGAGGGATCAGAGCGGAGAGAGGTACAGTGTCAGCTCTGGGCGGTGGTGATTTGTTGCGATACATCGGTTACAGTAGGAGGCTGTTTTGGTCTAGTATGAGCTTGGTAGAAGAGCAGCTGCCGGGGGGCACCGGGAAGCAGAGCGGCCTTGTATTTGTTTTATGAATTGTTTCTTTGGACTTGATGAGCAAAAATCGACAGGAGCGAGATCCTAGTAACGACTGATCTGCCGAATCGGCGGCAACCTGAACGACATGGGCTGCCTCATGGAGAATCGAAGATCATTGAAGCATGCTGAGAAGAAAGAAGCACTCAGTGCTGTCGGACTCGTGTCAGGAAAGAAGCCAATGCCGCGAGCTACCGTGAAGAGTAAAAAGGCCCAGAGCCATATGCTGGCCAGACTCATCGATCGACTCATCGCAGATACTGGCGATGATCGTCACAGTACTGAAGCGGCGGCTCCGACTTCTGTCGCGCTGCGCAGGTTGCCATGGACTCCACCAGGGTGACGTCAGCCGCTGAGGCTGACTTGCCTCTGCTCGCGGACGACTCGCCTTCGAGGCAGTCCGCCTCACTGAGGGAAATACCGGAAGGCGAGGGGCACCATTAAATGAGAGGTGCATGGGGCCATTTACTTGTTCCGTGACAGGTCTTAACTGCGGCTTTAACAACGGACCCTCCCCCCCGGCCTCCTTTTTGCTCCTCTGTGATATCCCAAGCTGACCGGAAGAGAAACCAATCCCGCATCCCGCTTGCTCTGCTTCGCTTCTCTGCTCTTCTCTTGTGCTCAAACTCCTGCAAAACATACGATCGATCAAAGTGGTCAAAGCAATCGATAGATGCCTGCTACAGCTAGCGCCTGCCGCCGCGAAAAGAACAACCAGACTGCTCGCAACTCCGCGCGTCCTGCCTGCCCTGATCCCTCGTCCCGCTCCTTCTCCCTCGACCAGTCCCAAAGACGACGTAGCAGCTGGGCCCGAGGACCCTTCTCCGCAAGCTGCTCCAGCGTCTCCCTCCCCGACCCCGACTCCGCCCCCGTCATCACCCTCACCCATCGATCCTGCCCCGCTTGGCTCCTCGGCGTGGTGTGCAAGGGCCCGCACTTCCGATCCATCGACCAGCACGGCAGCCTGACGGACGGAGGAGCGTACGAGAGGCTGGGGAAGAGCGCGCGGGCGTGCCTGGCCAAGTCCATCAGCCGGGACGGGAACTTCACGAGCGTCAGGCTCCCGACCTTCCATCAGGAGCTGGAGTGCGGGGGCCGGGAGGGGAGCAGCGTAGCTACAAGAGAGGGAAGCAACGGGGAGGAGGCGCCGTACGATGAAGGGGGAGAGGAGGAGGGGCTATCAGGGCGGTACTTCTTGGAGTAGGGCTTTCAATAAAACGACTTAAGAACGTGTCAGACTTTCAACTGACAGAACTTTGACCTTGTCACGCCATCATGTGATCTGGGGGCTGATCGATTGATAGATCCGTCAAGGCTCACTGTCTTGAAGTTCGCCTACTGATGACATCGTTTGCAGCATTCCAATGTTGCTAAGGCGTGACCTACTGCAGGCTGGCACTGCGGCAGCCAGTGCGGTGCCAGGGAGTGAGTGGCAGGCTTCAGGCTTCAAGTGGTAATGCCGCTAGTACCGCACGAGCCTCGGCGTACTACGGCACGGTACCCAGGCCGGACAAAGGGCGCCGGGCGGCCCGCAGCGGCGTTCACTTTGACGGACAGGCTAGCAGGGCCAAGAACTCAGTTTAAAACTTCACTTGGAAACAAGGAAACCATCATCATGAGGCCTTCTTTATGAGGCCATCCAGCCGCATGATTTTTGCATGGCTCACGGGAGCACGAAAGCTAAGTTGCCAAGGTCAGCCGCCGGAGAGCCTCGGAGTCACGAGATCAGCAGGCCTCAGCCTGCCTCCGTTCACGGCGAGTCCGGGACTCTGCGAGCCAGATATCAGTCAAACCGTGACCAGTCAGTGTGATGCCGCAGGTGCTACTCGTGCCCCAGTGTTTTAACATCTCATGTCACTCAGAGCCTGTCAGGACGGTGGATATAGGTAAAAACTGATAAAAAACTGGGCTTAACGCTGTACCACGATCAGGATTAGTTAAATGTGGCGACAGTTCTGACCGTCGCAAGACAGCCGGTCACGTCGGCAAGGATCTCCGGTCATCTCGCAAAGTGCTGACGTTAAGTTAGTTTGTACGCGTGACTGCTTTATTCCACTGGTAGGCCCCTCGTGACTTGCTGACAAGAAACCAGTTCCAAAACACTAATTCTTATCCCGCCCCTGCACCCTCCCTCTTAAAGCAAGCTCTGATCTGTTCCTTGCCACCCTCCCCTTTCCTCGTCTCTCCCACTTGTCTCCTCTCGCAACATCATGTCTCCCTCGCTCCGATCTAGCCATCATGGCATTTATCCCTCTCACAGACGATGCACCCTCGTCTGCCCTACCCCCTCCTCCCGCTCCTTCTCTTTTGAACAGCAAAACAGACGCAGAAAAAGCTGGGCCCGAGGACCCTTCTCCGCAAGCTGCTCCAGCGTCTCCCTCCCCGACCCCGACTCCGCCCCCGTCATCACCCTCACCCATCGATCCTGCCCCGCTTGGCTCCTCGGCGTGGTGTGCAAGGGCCCGCACTTCCGATCCATCGACCAGCACGGCAGCCTGACGGACGGAGGAGCGTACGAGAGGCTGGGGAAGAGCGCGCGGGCGTGCCTGGCCAAGTCCATCAGCCGGGACGGGAACTTCACGAGCGTCAGGCTCCCGACCTTCCATCGGAGGAAAGGCAGTATGCAGGTGGAAGGGAACAGTCTACCAGTAATGGATATGAGGGATGTATTGGAAGTTTCAGAGCAGGAGGGGAGGCTTTCAGGGCGGTACTTCCTCGAGTAACTTTAAGAAGCATCGAAGCCTTTGCTCTCGACTTAGGATAGGAGAGCCGCGGTGGCGAACGCTCCTGATGTCCTACGAGAGGGATGGATGTGCGAATCTAGAGAGCGACACAAAATTGTTCAATATCAACAAGCTTGTAATAAACCAACGTGACATACTCGTAGACAATTTGTATCAATCGAACAGTTGGTTCTCTCGAAGAACATGTCGCTCATTCTTCTTGCGAGAAAACGTCGGCTTGATCCTTCAAAGGGAGAAGAATCTCGCAAACTCATGTTAGCTCCAGCTCCTCCTGCCCGCTGTTACTTCCTACTCACCTGATTGCATGATGTGAATCATCTACAATTCTATCAGGAGTGTGATGTCACAGTCGATCGTTTTGAAAGGCCTTGTCTTGGGCGATTCCAATTACATCTCGAAGACATTGAAACGACACGATGATGGTGCTCGACATCGTCGATTTGTTATGTGTCTGTGTCGGTGCCATTCTCTCATGATCCATCCTCAATCCACTTAGTTTGTCTTCAGCGATCCATTGCGAGGTATCAGGTCAGATGTCACTTGTGGCTGCCGTCAGATGACCGTAGCCACAAATGTTCGCAGTTGCTTCTAGCAGATGTTGTAAAAGAGCTATCATCAGCAGGATATCATTAACTAGGGCTATGACTCCTTCATCTCAAGCCGAAATTTGAGCTCATCAGCCCTGGATTGGTTTCTAGCTGTCTTTGATCACTATTAAGATTCTGCATCTAGTGCCTTTCCCTCCGCAGCTTTTGACCGCTGATGAGGATGAGCCATGTGGATGAAGACGCTGTGCTGCATGGATGGTCAGATGGAGGACGGGTGCGAGCAGGTAGAGCACAGGATGAGGGCATCAGGAGGAGAGCGATGGAGGAGGAAGGCAACAAGTACAAGGATGGGACAAGACTGATGGTGAAAGATGGCAAGAGTGTAGAACAAGCTAGTGAAGAGTTGGGATCAGGTCTAGCACTCGTTTGCTTCCTCGATCCTTGACTCATCCTAACCCCCCCTCCCCCCTCCCCTGCCCCTCCCCCCCTCCCCCCCTCCCTTCCCCCCGGCGTCCATTTCATGCTGTACTCGGTGGACTTTCAC